AACTAGTATCTCCTTAACATTTTGTTTTTCTACATTTCCCCTAATTAAAGTTCCTTTTGTTAATGACATATTACGATTAGATGGTAGGGTAGGTACAAGAGGGGAGAGACCGAAGTCAAAGAACAGATCTTCATATAAGGTGTCCCCCTAAAGAGAGGTTTTCTCAAAATACGGAATATTTTCAAAAAAAGTTACATCAAGACTTACATAGATCCTTTCCGTGGAAGGTTTGTAGCATTTGTAGTCTTTTTGTGTAGGAGAATATCCTATCACGACACATTTAATAGCTCGAGGATTGAGTTTATTTCTGTGATGAGAGTGAATATGAAGGAATGCAGTGCACCTAAAAAATCTGACGGATAGATTGGAGCTAAGACTAGAAGTTGGGAAATATTTCAAAATTTTTTAAAGAGGTGTTTCAAAGTTTAGAGTACGGCTAGTCATCCGATTGATTAGATAAATGGATGTAAGGATAGCGTCCCCCCAAAACGTTTGAGGCATGTGTGTAGTAAACATTAAGGCTCAAGTAACTTCTAGAATATGTCTATTTTTGCGTTCGGCAATCCCTTTTTGTTGGGGGGTGTAATGCATGAACGTTGATGAATTATTCTGTGTGTTTGGAGAAAGTCTCCCATGATATTATTGACGTGTTCTGTGCCATTGTCAGTCTGTAAAATTCGAATTTGTGTCTCCAATTGCGCCTGAATCATGGAATGGAAGTTTAAAAACACAGAGCAAACATCAGATTTATTTTTTAGTAGGTAAACCCAACAAAGTCGAGTGTGATCGTCAATAAATGTAACAAACTATTTTGCGTGAGTATAGTTTGGGGCTCGTGAAGGGCCCATACATCACTGTGAATTATGCTGAATACATTTGATGATTTGTATTTGGATTTTGGAAATGACGTACATTGATGCTTTGTAAACTCACAAATTTCACATTGAAGATTACCTAGCTTTTTTTTTCAAGAAAATAGAAGGGAAGACACATTTCAAGCATTAAAAGTTAGGATGACCCATTCTAAAGTATCATAACGTAAACTTACTATTTTTAGGGACAAACGTAGGATCACAAACTTTTATTTGACATTGTTTACTCACATCAGCCTATTCAAAGTAATAGAGTCATTCACTTTCCTTAACAGTACCAATTGTCTTTCCTGAGAGTAGGTTCTGAAAAATACAGTGAGATGGAAGAAATTTAGCAGAGTAATTGAAAGTTTTTTTAGCTGGTTTATAGATAATAAATTGCACGATAAATTCGGAACATGAAGGACAGACTCTAAAGTTATAGAATCCAAATTTTGAATACTCCATTTTGTTGCGACGGTAACTAGGTAGCTATCTGCAATTTAACTTTAAAATTACCAACACATGGAATATGAGGAAAATAGGTGGTAGGCGTCCGTCATGTGGTCAGACACTCCAAAGTCAAATAATCTAAGATGTTTTAGATTGGGTGATTGAATTTGAGGCTGTCAAAAAATTAATTCTACGAGCTAACGAACTTAAATGATTATTTGAAGAGGTTTGACTCATTGATTGAAGGTTAGAAAATATTTTGTGGAGTTGCTCCATCTAGGGTTGGACAAAAAAATCGCGAAACCGCAAATCGAACCGAAATCGTTAGTTTGAAACCGTTGGTTCGGGTCCACATAGACTCGCAGTTTTATTTCCCTCAAACCGAACCAAACCGTTTCAAAAGGTTTGGTTTATGTTTCAATTTTCAAAAACCGCTTAAAATCGAACCGAACTGTTTTTTAAATTTTTAATTAAAAATTAATTTTATTAACTTACAAATTTTAAATTTTTCACTTTTTAGCAAAAAATACCAATTTAGCAATACAAATTACAATCAACCCATTGAAATAATCATATAAAGCAAAATAAGTTCATCATTATTGATCGATGGTTTTATAAGTCCACAACACACATTCAGACCCGATATCTAATCTAAACTAAAATTAATCCCAAATCATATGAAATTAAAAAAAATTATTTTCAACAATCCAAATCATAATTCAACGAAACTACAACTACAAATCACGCCCACAACTTCAAAAGCTCTAACCTAAACTTTCATTTCTGAAACATTTGACGCTTGCCTGTCACTGTTGAACAAAATGCGATTCCCAATATCAAATCGCTAGTACCTCTTTCTCACTTGATAAGTCTTAGATTCATATTCAAGTCATTTTTTTCATTGTTCTTTCTTTCATTTGTTGTTTCTGAATTTATTATACACTTGAGAGTTGTGATTTAGATTTAAAAAATGAATGTTAATGTGCATAGGTGATTAATTAACTTGTTTGTGGTTTAGAAAGAACGAAGGATAGAGTGTATTGATTGTGTGAAAATGTTATAGTACTACCGCATTCTACTTTCTCAAAGTCGTTAGATAATAAAATTTGTCAATTTCCAATAAATTTGAACTCTATCATTCTTTGTACATTTAAATATATCATGTTGAGTCCTTATTTTTATCTCACTAGTGGGATAAAAGAAATTTTAACCAAACTATTACGGCAGAGTGTGACTCTATCTTTACCAACCGCTATATGACAATATGAAAAACAAATATGAATAGGTAAATAAAAAGGGAAAAATATATATTCGTTCTATTAATATCTTTTAGCAACCAACTTTGAAAATAATTTAATCACGGGTGGGAAAGATGAATGTAATTTAATATTTAATATTATTAGTTTCATTCTACTTTCTCAAAGTCGTTAGAGAATAAAATTTGTCAATTTCCAATAAATTTGAACTCTATCATTCTTTGTACATTTAAATATATCAAGTTGAGTCCTTATTTTTATCTCACTAGTGGGATAAAAGAAATTTTAACCAAACTATTACGGCAGAGTGTGACTCTATCTTTACCAACCGTTATATGACAATATGAAAAACAAATATGAATAGGTAAATAAAAAGGAAGAAATATATATTCGTTCTATTAATATCTTTTAGCAACCAACTTTGAAAATAATTTATTCACGGGTGGGAAAGATGAATGTAATTTAATATTTAATATTATTAGTTCTCGTTTAAACTTATACGTTAACTTATTTTAAATATATTATTATAATGTCGATAAGTAAACCGCGGATTAAAACCGAACCAACCCGCAATTTATGGTTTGTTTTGGTTTGGTTCGAAAAATAAAATGATTTGGTTTGGTTTGAAAAAATTTCAAACCGTATGAAATGGTTTGAGTTAAAAATATAGGACAAACCGCCCAAACCAAACCGTGTTCACCCCTAGCTCCATCTGGTGTTAAAGGCACTACTTGACTTCTTGGACTTTTTTGTTTGATAATCAATAGATGTTTGATATTCCCGATTCCTATTACTCTACCTGAGTTTCCAATTCACCGACTTTCCAAAATATCCCAACATGTATCTTCCTTGTGTCGTGACTTGCGACAGTGTTCACACCAGGTCAACCCTTTTGCTATTTTGGACCTAACCCAATTGTTGACCCTTTAGAGTATAAGCCGAAAGCACAAGGCCCATCACTTGAATTATCAGGCCCCATATTAGTGGCTGCCTCATTATGCAAATTAGAAGGCCCAATTCAATTCAATAACAGGCCAGAATCCTCAATCCCAAGCACTCCACTAGAACCAAGCCCATTCATCATCAACTTCCATCAACTCTTCTCGCTCTCCTTTGAGAAGACTTCTCACGATGACAGTAATGGTTGTCGACCGAGTATTCTACCCCTAATGTTTTCCAGGTCACAATAGAGCCCAGCTAAGAACTCGAAAACCATCTCATTCTCCATCCTTTTCCAATAATACCATGTTAAAATTTGCAATTCCATCTTAAAAGGTTAACCTTATTAAGAAGAATAACTCAAACCTTTGTAAGTTAGTCTTTATTTTCATTTTTGTTCGACAACGAATTTTATCTCTTAACATGCCCACTATTTTGAAGGAAGACTCGTTTGAACAAACCAATCTTGAAATCCGTGTACTTGTTTTTGAGTTTTAATTGGACTGAATTACTCATTGGAGCTTAATGAATTTTGATACCATAAAAGTGAAATTGAAAAAAAAAAAAATGATTTCTTAATTTCACATTAATAATGTACAGTATCGACCCTTATTTATGGTATATAAGGAAGGCAAAAATATAAGGAAAATACGAATCTCCTACAATCTCTAAAATTTACAATAATCAATTAAAATATCCTATATATAGAAAGAGGAATCTCCAATAATAATTCCTAATTCCTAATCAAGACTCCAATCATCTCGGGATTTCAACAACTAAACATGGAACACAAGTAAAAAATTTGGTCTTCACATCAACATACAGTAAATGTATGTACTATATGAAATCTTAAGCTCAAAAGAGAAATTTCTTATACACATCCCAAAAAGAGAAATAAGGGGACAAGAAACAAAGTAAAAGATTGTCCCTCATGTCTACCTACTATATTAATAAAAACATATCCAAGTCAGAAGCATACAATTTTATACCTTTTACATGTGATAGAGGCTAAAAAAAAGGGCCTACTATGTACCTGAAATGCCATTTTGGCTTTGTGCTGGATAGTGTTAAAAATAGAAAGATGTTATAGTCCTGCATGCCAAATATGAGTGTAGGGGTATTTGACTCGGTATGCCCACAAGTATTTTACATGTTTCCAACTTTACCTCACAACAAAGTCGAAAAGAAATGCAACTGCGTTTCTCCCCTCGAAACCATTTCAACATCAAACTTCTTCACCGAAATGTCTGTTCAACTATCCATGGGAAAGCACGAACCTCAATTTTTTCATGGATCTCGAGTGCTCCTCTGCTAAATAAACTTTGCAATTCAGTATTGGATCAGAAAGCCCCTGACCTGAAGCACCAATAATCCGTATTTTTCACTAAGATCCATGCATCACGAAGCAGAAACCAATGGTAACCAAGCTGGCCGAAGCATCATGATAGCATATTGCAGCTATATTCAACTCAAAATAACTCTTAGCGCTTCGAGCTATAACCTACATGTACTGAGCCAACCACTGTTTGCACATATCAAGAACTGGAAGTGCATTTGCATGTAATGCCTGCACAAGAAGATAAATATATAAGTTTGCACCAAGAAACAGGTCTTTTAGGACTAAATCCATCCGTAATAAACTTCCAAGTTCATATAATAACAGAGGCTGCAAATGCAATGTTACGCATAAATTAAGGACCTCTCCTCCCTCTCTCTATTTCTACTATATCGTGAATCCCTCCGGGTCATTGATTAATTTACTGGCATGTCCAAAGCAACAATACAATTTAAAATATCTAGTACATGTATAAATTATCGTGAGGTAGAATCTCAAAAATGACTGCCAATTTTCACACTGTGTTCAATCTAGGTTAAGAAATGAGAACTTAGATCACTATCTGACGATCAGTATAGGAGCATCAAGCTAAATGTTTTTACCAAAAAAGAAATTGAAGTTCAGGTGAAAGAAAGACCTGATGTGCAACATATTGAACATCAGCAACACTTCCACTCTTAGATGCAATCTGGAAAGCACTTTTAAGGCGACCACAAACAACACAGGCCAACACTTTCCTGCAAAATCCGAATAGGTATATAGGGCATTCATATTTCAATTGGTGATGGGGAAATCTAAATTAAAAGGTATGAAGAGGAGATTTACAACAGAATACATATTTAGTAGTTGATGTATCATCGAAGGCTTATGGATCCATAGTTCTAAAGGAGTTGCATTGTAGTCCTTTCTTCCCACCCACTTGCAAAACATGGTTCTTTCCCTTTGTGAGTGGTTTTGAAATAGCATATTAATGGTCCAACCAGGCGTAAATGTTTCTCGCATAGGAGCTATTGAAAGATATTCATTCCAAGGGAAATATTTAACTGTTGAAATTCAAACATAAACTACGAAAGTACTACTTTACTTTTTTTTAGGCCACAGATAAATGACGTGTGCATTTAAATTACTCCATTAGTTTATGCAGAAGAAATTAAGTTACTGGAGACGTCAATGAGAGTAGTATCACATGCACGACCTGTGGTTCTTTCGTTACTTGAGGCATCGTTAGGCATAGGACAACAACATTTAAGATATTTTTTTTCTTTTGACATGCACTCTGATTATCGGATACATCAATCCACACCTTCCAGGTACAGTGTATTTCCAGTTATAGATTCACTATTTGAAAAAACTCTAATTAAGCCCCTGTTTGACAGAATTTTTTTTTTTGGAAAGAATGAGTTTTTGAATCGTAACTTATCGGTGAATGTGTGGTTAAAAAGTAAGGAAAATTATTTGGTTTACGTGAAAAATATTTTATTGAGAACGTGAGGTTGAAAATGAGTACGAGGAAAAAGAACGAGAAAGAATGATTGTCAAACAAGGGCTAAATCTCTAATAAGCTAAAAGGTCAGAATTATTTTACCTGTGGTTGCTAGTCAACATGTCAATGAGGCGATCAGGGCGTTCCTTGTGTTTGTTGGCGTACACATTAATTGCTGCCCCCAAGACCTACAAGACCCAGATGAAATGCATATTTTATATCATCTGCAACAATTCTAAGTATTATTTATACTATATAGAGTCCAAAATAAAAAAATTTAAACAACACATCAGGAGAAGCATTATAACAACGACGAAACCTGATAACAATTATTATCATCTATTGTAATAAATATGAAGAAACATTATAAAAACAAAACCTGATCCCAATCATCATCATCTATTGTGCCTTTAATGTTTCTGAAAAACTCAGTCAATTGACCTCCCTTCTTTCTTTCAGCAAGTGATGATGCAACACCAGCATATATGTCAACAGCTGCAATAATATCAGGAAGAAAGAAAGGTAAATTTCCTAGTCTTATATCGGATATAAGTCCTGCTGGGAGGCAAAAAGGGATTTGACATTTTACGTGATTTAATGACACTACCTGGAAGATTAAATTGATATATTATTCGGAAAGCCAAATCAAAATTCTTCTCAACAAGAGTTTCAGCAATTTCGCATCTTCTCCTGCATTAGTACAGACACAGACCAACGTTAAATTTATTCTAGATCACTTCTAAAGCATTAACAACATAAAGAAGAGTTCAGCAACGTCAATTCATTAGGTATTCGCTGAAAGACAAAAGAACAAAACGGGAAAAGATCTAAAGACTTCAGCAGCACTAATGCCTTTCATGCACAACTGGGACTGATAATGAAAGAAATTGACTTAACTGGTCGTACAATTCCAGTTACCAATCTGGTGCAAATGCGCACATTATTATTATTATTTTTTTCCTGCATGCATGTCTGCATTAATTTAGAGCACAAATACTCTTGACAAACAACATCCTGCATAGTTCGTACAACATGAAAGCCTCACACAGTAGAATTTTGAGAACTTGACAACTTCAATCTGTAACCACGCATAACTATCTAAACCCTACAGGGAAAAATCTTGGGCAAAAGGAAAGTTTCTGCCAAAATGCAACTCATCCAATTAGGGTTCTGTTTGCACGAATTTTGGCACATTTTATGTTGCAGACAATATTTAAATGATATACATGTTGCACTCTCTAATAGCTTAAGCTTTAAATCAAGTAGTTCAATATGGTATCAGATCATAAAAAGGTCCTGGTTTCTCACCAACACTCGTTTATTAACATTATGCACATGTAAGACTTTGATGGAAAAAATGAATGAAATGAACCCTACCTACATGTAAGGGCACGTGTTGAAGGCAATACTCAAATGATATCCAACTGGTCATTTGTAATAGCTTTTTGCTCAAGTGGTTCAACGCTTATATTTACGTGTTCATGTATTTACACTATTCAGAAAGAGTGAGGAACAGGATGATTTCCAGAACTCCTCTAGCTTTGATTTGACGTTTGGAAAATTGCACAAACCTGAAAGTTTCAGGATCCTGTGGATTCCCAAAAAGAGAGTGTTTCCACTGTGGTCCCTCTGCATCACTAAAGCATCTCACAACATCCAACTGAAAGTCCAGATGAGCGCAATCATGTGACTCAAGTTATAAAAGTTATTTTCATCAACATAAAAATTTCTTTTAATTGTTTCATTTTGGCACCTGAATTCCAACACGAGCAGAAAATTTGAACAGTCCCTCTTCAGTAAGCTTCTCAGAAGCACTTTTCCCCCGAATACCTTTGGTGACCAGTTTGGTAGAATCTCCAACTTTAGATCGTGCCGACAGCCCTTCATCAAAATGTGTCTGCACCAAAATCAGTTAGGATCTGTAAAAGTGGAAGAAAATTTTAAAATATAAAGAAGTTCCAAGTGAGAGGACATTGCAAACTGACATGGTACATAAGATCTATAACAGTCATTATTTTACGAATTTATGTTTCAGAAATCGAACTACAATGTAATTAATGCAAACCAGGCATATACAAATTCTAGATAACTGCCAATCACATTTAAGACTTCACCCTTTACAGAATATGACCAAAATTATTTAGTGTTGAAGACGAAATTTAAATAATATACATGTGACCCTCTTTATCAACTTGAGCATTTAGATTAGGTGGTCCAGCATGGTATCAAAATAGGTGAAGGAAGTGTTCAAGTCTCACCATCACCCATTTATTGAAATTTTGCATGTCCCAAGCTTTGATGGGAAAAATGAACACCGCCTACATGTGATGGGTTGTGTATGAGGCAAAATTTAAAAGATATACATGTGATCCTTTAACAGCTTAAGCTTTAGATATAGTTGTGTAGTTGGTATTGTTTGTGTCAATAAAAAAATTAGAAATCTCCATAACCTTAAGCTAACAAAACCAACTGGAAAGACATGGTCACTGCAACTCATAGGAGATTCGAGGAGAAATAATTAGAAGAATGTTCTTTGAGAGAATTTCAAAGCATCATGCACCAAACCCAAGTCTTGGACAGTAATCCTTAAGCGCTACATATATAAAAAGATCAAGCATTCTGCTACTTTATCAGTCATTCAAGAATTCTTCTTCTTATCTGAAATATTGAGCTATGATTCCCACAAATTGACTGACTCTATGTTATTCTAGTTCTCTGAACCATGCAGAGTCCATGTCGAAATTGCATTGATATGAAACTGACTCTTCAAAAATTTATATACCTCTCCAGCCCATGACATTTGTCCTGAGCAATGCAATCAACGTTTACTAGCAAGGCATGTCATCTCTCATTATCACACGTACACATTAAATGTAATGCATTGATTGTTTATCTTTTTCCTTTTGTAAATATTATAAGGAAAACTGAACAGGGTATAGTTTTGAATGTAGTATAATACAATGTATATTTTTTAATTATTAAATACCAAGTTTTACATATATATAAGTGCAATAATTTTGAGATTAATTGTTTCATACTTTAATTTAAGTTAGCACCAATTTGTGAAAGCTTATAATTGTTTCATACTTTTACCTATTTTTCAATCACATATTAATTGGGACCCACTACTTATAAGCAATTATAAGCTTTGACAATTATGCACTTGATAAGATTTCATATACAATTAATTTAGCATGTTGAAGGATTAGCAAACCAACCATCTAACTTTGAGTTATGAAGCATGATCTTGTTCTAAAATATTATTGAGGAAGTGTTTAGATTATCTATATGCTGCATAACCTGATCATACTGATAAAGAAAGGTTCTTGAACTGCATAGTAACTGCATGCAATTTTTGAATAAATGGTCTTCAGTCAGAAACCAAAAACAAATACGCGTTAACTCGTGCATAGAAATCATGATCATGCTAAATACTTAACCACCTCCAACAAGCTCAATTTGCCTTCTAAATCTTGAAAGTAAAACAATATAAGAAGCATAATGTTGATACATAACATGGAAATATTTTGAAGAAAGTGATGATTGACCTTGGCACGATCCAAGTGCTTTAAAGCTTCTTCTTGAGAAGCAGAATTCATGAACAACTGAATACAGCAAAGCCCAGCAGCCACATGGTCATTTTTTATCACCTGAACAGCAAAGTCAGATAAAATAAAATGAGAATTACCTGTCTAAGAAAGTTATTTTAGGTAAGTAATAAAAATTGTGAGAGTGAACCAAATCAGCTCATATATGAGAAAATTACGTTTTCATGAATACTACTAATAGGCTCAACAACCCCTGAACATGAACGATATTTTGTCCATATAATACGTAATATTCCTAACTCTTATTCAACCTTTCTGCTGCTCAATCCATGTCACACCTCACCCCTTTAAAGAACTCAACATGTGTTTTAACATCTGTTCAAGAAAATATAAGGAATTGGTCATAGTGCCTCCATTCAGTGCAATACTTCGTCGGTGAAATATTTTTCTCACCAAGAACCATCATGATGTAGAATGCAATGAACAAGAACAAGATTGAGAAAAGGAGAAAGAGAGAGAAGAAAGAGAAGAAGAGGAAGAAAATTTAGAGGGAGACATATAGTTTTTATTCAATACTTAAAATGTTTGTATTACAATGAATAAAACACTCTTTATATAGAGTCTAATTAAACCTAATTTGGGAAGGAAACAAGTAAATAAACCCTAATTAGTCAAACTAGAAAACCTATCAAACAATAACCTAAATCTAGTCAAACTAGGAAACTAAAACAAAATAGAATAAACTAATATAAAATTAAACTATCATTATTCACATAATTTAGCTTTTGCTTTGATGACTGGTCTTGCCGTAATTCTATTCCAATCCGAAGTTTTCATAGAAGCTAAATCTGGATTTTATATCAATGTCAAATTACACTTTCTTAGCACATCGACTTAGCTCATATCAGTCGTACACAATGGTGAGTTGCGCTTCAATTGCATAATACATCAGTAGATTATTAGCTTACCCAATTTTAATCCTTGGTCTAGAAACAAAACGTTGACTTCAAGATAAAAGGAAAAATTTCAACATTGAATTATAGAGACAAAACGCGCCAATTTTATAGATAAATGAACAGGTGATACTGTAGTCATGAATGTGTCGATCAATTCATAAATAATTCGTCAGTGAGTGGTTCTTTTCGCACTATTTCTCAACAAGTCCATTCAGAATGGAACTTGATCTCTGGTGGATGAATTGTTCAAAATCTTAAGAAGTTGAGCCTTGGAGAACTAAAGAGTGACATGCGAGGTACAAGATCCATGTATATGATTTCAGTATTATTTATTTATTTATTTTTATTTTTTTTTCGATTTGGCTGAAATGAAATTAAAATGAGAAAAGCAAAATGCAAGTACCTGGAACTTATACAAGTAATTAAAATGCTTGTGGGTTTCACAATAAAGGCAGATGCGGGCAAGAGCTGCAGTTGTATACTGATTCATCGACTGTTCCTGTAATAACGATACCCTTGACGATATCACTTCCTCTAGGACAGGCATGGCACCATAACCAACACACAAGTCGCATAAATCGTCTATTGTTCCATAATCAGTTGCCAAAGGATCTGTTCTTTGGGGAGGAGAAGAAGAAGTAACCACTCCTAGTGATGATAGCTGAGGAGGAGGGGGAGAAGAGTTGGCAGGGAAAAACAACGAGCAAGCCTCTTCATAATGGCCATGCCTAAACAAGAAACTGAGCAAATGGGGACGAGCATACTGCAATATAAATGCATATTCATTAATAATACATATATCACAGCTTAAGTAGTTGACCAGATATAATAAGCACACAACCAAGAAAAGAAAGAATCTAACAAAAAAATGTCGAGTAACATATTGAAAGTGGTATTCCAGAGGGCATGGAAAGCATAAACAAAAGCAAAAGAATGTTAAAAACAAAACAAGACAAAATTGACAACATCCACAAAGGGTGAAAGAAAAAATAAAACATCAAAGATTTGACACAGTGCTGCATTATTAAATAGCAGGGAAGTCTCAGAAAACCACCGAATCTCTCAATCAACATCTTAGCTAACAAACTGTGTTACATTGAAAAAAAAAAAAAAAACACGGCATTCATAAATGAGTCAAGCATGTTATAATGTCGGAGTATAAAGTAACAAGTAAATCTTAATCCTTACTTCTTGCAAATAGTTAACACATTCAAGGTATCTAATGCTGTCAAGGTTGCTGCGGGGACCATCATCGAGATCTGGATTATTCATAGAATTATTATTTGCAGCTTCTTGAGACCTCCTAGATCTCTCAGAACGAGGAAATGTTGATGGCATGTACAAAACATTGAGATAGGAATCAGCTGAAAGAGGATCATCCAAGACTGCTGGTGCACTTCTAGCCAAATGTTCATACCTACATCATATGTTGAACGGACACTATTAGGTGAATTAGTTAATCATTTTCATATTAGCAAATTAAAATTGTGCTGATGAATACTTTATGTCCCATCATGTTATCCATTTAACCAGAGTTTCAGCGATTTAAGGGAGCACAAGTCATTTGCATGATCCCAGAGTAAACATTGGTATATATATACATAATAAGCCTCATAAAGCAAATGTCATGAAAGAATCATTTCAAATAACTCGAATCCAATTTGAAAAACTGATATGAATTGGAATAATTAGACTCAAGAAACAACCGTGTAGTCTAAAGAATAATGCTTGAGACATACTCCAACGTGCACAAGTACAACCCTATATATGTGTATACAAAGAGTTGAACAGAGAAACACAACAGACCACAACTTATCCTGAAGTGAGAGAAGTTCAAAAAAGAATGCAAACAAACAAGGGGAGTAAATTACAGATTCAGCACTATTACACGATGAAGACGAGTTCCATGGAAGCTTTCAGGGATTTGAGCATCACCATAGCTCTACGAAGTGGAATCATTACCACTGAATTGAATTCTTGTCTAAATGGAAGGCTTGTTGTCAACAATGCAGCAAAGTGCAACTATAGACAAGCACTTACGATTTAAGTGATTGCTCATCCTAACGAGTTTCACATTAAGAATTTAATCTTTCCGTTTGTTTAATTCTACCATTTTTTAGAGACTCACATTGTAACCAACGAAAAATAATAAAAAGATCGTTGAAGACAATATGTAAATGCTATACATTTTGCCGTATCTAACTTAACTTTTAAATCAAGTACTTCAACATGATATCAGAGCAAACAAAGGTTCAAGTCTCGCCATCACCCATGTAAATGACTTGTCCACGTGTTAGGCTTTGATGTGAAAAAAATAAATCCCAACTAAATATGAGGAGGCAAATTGAAGATAATATTGAAATGAAAATTTGAGCCTAGATCAAATGGTTCAACAAATATAATAATATGAGACATGTAGCCTTTTATGTTTATATTTTACTTCTTCAGATCCAAGGCAATCCCAATCTATAACAAATTATTTAAGTTCAACATACAAGCAGAAGAACCACTACCCAACAAAAAGAATCTTATACAGTTTCATTGTGAAATATATCTCCCCAATATAGTAACATTCCACTCATAAGCACCTAATTCAATTGCAACGAAGTAGAATGCCTAACTGCTGCTAGGCTATAAATATAGATAATGGAACAGACGGATTGCAGAGAATAGAAATGAATGATTAGTTGAGTTTCTTCCAAGCGTATATGAAATTCAAAAATTGCATGCAATCTTACATAGACCGAACAGATGAAACATCAACTGGTGGACCTCCTTCAATAGTATTGATTATCTCCAGAATCATGGGAGCAGGATCACCCTTGTGTAATTGAAGAGCTTGCCTAGGCAGTATCACATAAATGTTAAGCAATCCAGAAGGCATAACCCATAGTCCAACAAACAAACAAAAGATACAAAAAGAAGAAGAAAGTGTCGAAAATCATTTCGTAACAAGATGTCAATCTCAAGCTGTGTTCATCACTTTATACACATGAAGAAACTTGTGTGTGTGTGTGTGTGTGACTTCACCTACTTGAATTTTACACGAGCTTGAGCATAGTGCTCCATCCGAATCAGAGCATGGCCCCATGAATTCCATACTGGGAAAACCTCAATCTGAAGGAAGTTTGAAAAATAAATCTTAGCTATTGAATACATTGAAGCAACCAAGTTTGACAGTTGTATCCATTCCATATACCTTACACTTCTTGCAAGTATATACCGCCATGCTGTATCGTTCCTCTTGGATCAAGCGATCTCTAAGATGTTCGGATGACCCTTTGTCGGCAATGTCATCAAGTGAGGCAGCTATCCCAGATCCCAGAAGGCTTTGCAGCAATTCAGCACGTCCTAGCCAAATGTCAACCTGTGATAGTGCTTCAGATAATTCATCGGTCGACTGACTACCCACACTAGAGCTACCAGCATCAGAGGATGCATCATCAGCATCCCTACCTTTTTCAGAATTACTAGACAAATCACTAGTCCCAGAAAGTTTTCTAAGCTGGGATTTAGCAAAAAGCAGACCCTACAAGGTGCAGATAAATTGATGTATTAATTTCTGTACAATAGTGCTTTAGTTTCAAAGCTCTACCAAAATGGATACCTGCACAAATGTTTCCGTCGCATGATATGCTCGGCCAATCGTTTCCATTGATGCATTTTCACGTAATTGCTGGGAGCTTAACACATTTTTCATCTGACTAATGCACAAGTCCAGTGCACCTTTGCCAGCTACACTTTCATCCGAACATAGTGACAGCAATGCCTTAGAACAAAAGATGCAAATAATCAAGTAGGCTCAGCAATGTTTACAACAGCTAGGATAGTGCATATAAAAGCATTAACCGCAAAATTTGACCCAAACTGCACGTAGCCAGAAACCCTGATATATTCAAATCAAAGTCTTAAGATTTTATTTTTGCAACAGTATCTCACTAAACAAGAAATAAAGTACAGAACTTCATGCATACGTTGCATCTGGTTAAATCTGGTTGTGCCATTGTGACGGCCGGTCATAGATTCCATTTTCCCCTATTTTTTGGATACACAGGAGCCTTTAAGGCTCATGTTTGCAGATGCTAACTGCCAACAAGTCCTTGTAAAATATTAAAATTGAATATTGAGTAATTGTGTTTTACAATTGGCCTCCAATAGACATGAAATAAGAAGCCCTATTGCAATTCATTGACAAAAGATGTAGAAGTGCACTTAGTCCACAGTGCAGTCAGACGATAAGCTACAGCTAGATCTATCTCAAAAGCTTTGTTTCCAACAGTGCAGTTAGTGCTAACAAGTAGGAGTGAATCATAAAGCCCAACAAGCAATGTTGCAGAGGAGTTAAATCAAAAGTCACAGCTAGATCTACCACAACAGCTATGCTTCCAACCTGATGCCACACCACATGCAAATGTTCTGAACACCAAAATTTCTGCAAAGAGAATGATACAGCTGCCTAATGTTTCAACAAATTGTTCAATATGGACAGAAGTCACTTAGCCCAGATCTATCAGAATCTAATTTAGGGATTGGACTTCCATCGTGCCAACATGAGCATGCAGAGAGAGAGAGAGAGAGAGAAGCATACTTCAAGTGTTCATAAAATTTCATAGCTTCATACCTCAAACCCACTCACCCACTTCAGCTTCACGACCTTGATAAATTCCAGAACGAGTGTGTTTGATGCACATTTTTTAGGAGAGAATGCATTTTTTATGTGATGCGATGGTGAATATGTGGTTGAAAAGAAGGAAAAGTTATTGATGTGATGAAAAATATTATTTTATTGAAGCATGTGTGGTTGAAAATGAGGAGAAGAATGAGAATGAAAATGAGGATATGGCTCAAACAAGGGCTAAAATAAAAAACAGAATCATTCCTAAGCAAGAAACTTTTCTTCCACTTGAGTCGGAGAAGTTTAATCATGACTCACCGCAGAATAGGAAAAATGTGTAGATCTATTATCTTATAAACTGTGACAAAATAGAAAAAAAGCTCTTGTTTCTACAAATTAATCTTATTTGGATAAGTATTTAAGGAAAGTATCTGACGAACTTTTAAATACTAGATCAATTTGTTTTCATTAGAAAATAAACAGATAGGGCCACTCAGACCCTTATTTGTCCGGACAGTGCAGTGGCCAGGCCAGTCTGGAGAGGCAAGCATTGCTGGGCCTGTGGCCCATGTGGGATTTTTTAATTTCTTTGTTTTCTCAGAAAATTAACTAAAACATAAACAAAATGTTCGGTCCAGTGGCCCAGATGGGAATCGTTTTAATGGGTGGGTTAGGCCTTTGTCCAGGCAACCACCCCATTTTACACCTTTACCTCCGCCATCAAAGACCAACATCTGTCAAAACGTTTACAAACCTTAAAACACCATCTGAACAACCAAAAAACTACACTATCACCTTTACAACCATCATCGTCAACCCACACTACAGATACAGTCCAACCACCATCACTGCTGCCATAACCTCAACTATAGACAATACCCTAAAGTCAAAATAACCAAAACACACCTTGCCATCCTTAATACCAATACAATGCTAAACCTCCACAATTACACCTCCACCTAAACTGCCCCAACATCCAACATAAAAATAACCACAGAATGCCCCAAACAAAGTAACGTCACTTACAGTTCAACCACCAATACCACTTTCCGTCAATATCCAAAAAGTAAACCATTGAAGGCCACATATACAAAGGGGAATAGAGATTTGAGACAGGATCGGAGGGGTAATGGGGAAAATCTGGTGAAGGGTGGTTCAGATATGAAGGTGGAAAACCGCTTTTTATATGTTAATGGAGGGGGCTCAGCTGTTAAAGATGGGGGACTTAGTTTCTGAGAAAGGCAAAGGGGGGAATTGTTTCAAAACATTCAAATAAGGGAACAAGCTGATCCTCACAAAACACAGGCAGTTTATAAACAAATGTGAGAGGCTAATTTTTTTCAGAAAGTGTAGATCACAAAATTCTCAATAATGACACAAATCACTATGATAGATGCTACTGTACCTTGAAGAGAATGATGTCTGGGGCACTTTCATATCGATGAGAGGAACGGACAACTCCATCCTTCTCTGGATCACCTGTGAGCATCCACTCCGGGGAAATTGAAACAGAAGGAAGCCTTTCTTGCCCATCTGCAGTGAATAATGAAACACGGTCTTCTTGAATACCAGCCATTGCCTCCCAAGCAGCTTTGTCAGATTGTGTTAATCCAGAGCTCTTTCTCTTCCTATAACTGTCCTTTGGGGCATTCTTATCTCCTGTGTTACGAGCTGTCCAAGAAAATGCTCTGCGAGCCTCTTTTTGCAGGTTACTTAGACTGCTAGTAAAGGATGACCGAGTAGGTGTGCTAGCCTTCATTTTTTGCTTTGTTCTAGGACCTGAAATTGATATCCTTGAATCCCTGGTGGGGGAACTGATGCTAATAGCAATAGCTTTGGCAGCATATGCAAGAATCATTTTGATCTCTCTCAATGAAGGAAACTCTTTAAGAATCTGCAAGGTTATATTACCATATATATCATGACACAAGCCAACAGAACATCAAAATTATAATGATTAACTAAACAATAAATGTACCAGAGAAGCAGATTGCAGCTGTTTTCTCATCAGCAAGACCTCTAGAATCAAAAGAGGATGCTCGTGTAGGGAAGAGCATCTTTGCTGCCATGGTAATGGCAGTGCAGCCAATACCCGAAGGCCTAAAGCCCACGAGTTAAGCCGAGAGACATCAACCTCTGACAGATTACTATCTTTTCTCTTAAGGAAGAAATGCACCTTCATCGAAAATCAACACATCGTTTTACTTTAATAGGAATGGGTCAAACTCATGGTCATCAATTTTCAGCTGTGACCTCAAGAGAAAAGGAGAAGGAACTAGCTGCAAACTTATAGCTACTTACAAGAAGTTGCTTAGATCGAAGGTTGGGTAAAAGTTGCATTGCACTCATTGCCACGGGCAAAGCATCGTCAGAGTCACGTAAAGAAGACAAAAAACGCGAAGCTTCTGCAGGGCCTCCACCATTTAGAGGATCTGCTGTGAGAAGCTTGACAAGTTGACGACCTTGCAGTTCTCTCCGCAATTCAATAGAAAGTCCAGCGCTTTCAGCCACTTCTAGAGCAGCAGATACAGCTCCTTTCTCGGCCAATCTAAGAGCAAGACCTTCAGGATCTTCCTTACAATCTGTCTCAACCTGACAAGATGGATAGAATAATTGGAACCACGAAAATTATTAGGTTGACCAGGATGTGATATATAACATAACTCCAAAAGAAGAAAGGAAAAATTATATACTGAACGACTCTTTTTCATCCCATGCGTGATACTAAAAGTAAAGTTTCACCTCTTGCCAGCTGTTGTAGTGATCATTTGCACATAATATGCGTTTGTATCTCAAGAGAGCTAGTCTCCTTTCAACAACCTACCAAAAGTAGGCCATATAAACAAGGGTCAGCTTGTTATAATCCTTCCTTGAAACAACATTCCTAGTGTTACTGAAAGTTCGAAATTCCATAAGAGTATGTAATATATCATTTCAGTACCTCCATTTTAAGTGGATCACCATCAGACAAATGACAACTACACATAGTAAGAACATCCAAAGCTGCTTCTAGCTCCCATCTATGCAAGTATCTGAAATAAATATATTCAACATTTATAAGACGATATAGAACACAAGAAAAATGAAAGAGAATAAAAATCTTATAAGAGCATTTTTCAATGGTAAAATGTTTAAGGTAGGTTGATGGAAAGAGCGAGAGAAATGCCTTTGCTAGAAGGATCTGAAGGGGAGAAAAAGAGTCTTGGTGTCATTTACAGTTTATAGACGACAAACTATTTTTCATATCTTAAATGCTTCCAAGAATTTTCTCCGTGACATATTAGGAATTTGAAAATTTTCAATTCTCTAACAGGTCTTAAAACTAATATGGAAAATAGTGTAATAGGGGTTCCCCTTTGAAATACTTAGAAGCTCCTTTGGGAGGGAGGTAATCTTTGTCTTTAAAATTTAAAACTCTTATAATTGGCAGTGTAGCAAAAAGAGTTAGATGGTTAGAACAAAGCTTGTTGTCTAAATATATTTGTCAAACCCATCTTTAATCTTATTACTTGAAAATACAATTGGTCTATTGAGAAAGAAAGGTATTGTGATGCAGAATTTCGTAGTATCAACACTCTTTCGGTAATATCAACCACACGAAACTTCCGAGTAATGAAGAAAAAGATCGAGGTATTTTGGAGTTACGAGAAAAGGCAAACTTCCCGACATCATGAAAGAGAGAGAATTGAGAAAATAATCTCTGTATTTCGATGTATTTATCAGCCCCTATTAAAACCTATTTATATTACACGAGATGAAGAAAAAAGGAAAACTAATCTTCTAAGTTAGGAACAAATTAACCTACCAATTATCCTAAAAGCACAATCTCTAATTAATACAATTGCCATAACAAATCCCCTTTCCATTCCTAGTTGTTTTCTACACCTCAAGTTGAACTATAGACGTTGACCATGTTCAACTTGCAGGATGAAGTTGTCGAACATTTTTCTAGACAATCATTTGATGAAGATATCTGCCGTTTGCTCTTTTGTAGGAACACGTCATACGGATAATTCCATTGTCCACCTTCTCTTTGATAAAATATCAATCCACTTTTACATGTTTGGTTCTATCATATTATACAGGGTTGAGAAAAATGTCGATAGCTACTTTGTTATCACAATAGAGCTTGATTGGAAATTCTACTCCGACTTTCAGTTCTTCAAAGAGTTTCTTTATCCATAATCCTCCACATATTCCTTATGCAACAATTTTAAATTCAGTTTCAGCACTGCTTCGTGTTACTATATTTTGTTTCTTATTTCTCCAAGTTATCAAATTTTCCCATACAAAGGTACAATAGCCTATAGTAGATCTTCTATCTTCCGTTGATCCAACCCAATCTGCATCCGTGAATATTTCTACTCTTTTCCTTCTACTTTTTCCGAAGAATAGTCATTTTCCAGAGGTTCCTTTTAGATATCTAAGGACTTTATATACTTCTTCCAGGTGAGCGTCTTTGGAAGAGTGAATATGCTAACTTACCATAGCGATGTCAGATCTAGCGTGTGAGAGATAGATTAACTTTCCAACTAGTCTTTGATATTTGTCTCTTTCCAGGGAGTTGCCAATATCCTTTGTCACTCTTTCTACCTCAATAGGTTTATCACTTGGTTTGCATCCCAACATGTCAGTTTCAATCAACATGTCAAGAATGAATTTTCGTTTAGAAACAATAATATCCTTCTTTGATCTTGTAACCTCCATCCCCAAGAAATACCACATTTGTCCTCGATCTTTTACTTCAAATTCAGCCGCTAAGCACTTCTTTAATCTTTCCATCTCAGCTATATTATCCCTTGTTAGGATTATATCATCTACCTATACAATAACGATAGTCTTCGCCCCATCTCTAGATTGTTGGAAGAACATGGTGTAATCTGACGTCCTTGTTGGTATCCTTGAGTTTTCAATAATTTTGCAAATCTATCGAACCACGGTCTAGGTGACTGTTTGAACCTTTATAAAGATTTCTTGAGTTTACAAACTTGATTTTACTCATTGCTTTTGTTGAAGCTCTAGTTCACCATTGAGGAATTCATTCTTAATATCCAGTTGTTAAACAGACCAATCTAGATTCATTGCTCTCGAACTGTATTTAGTTTTGCTACCAGCGAGAATTTTTCTATGTGATCGATGCCATAGATTTGAGTATACCCTTTGGCAACTAACGAACTTTGTAGTGTTCTATTGTCCCATAAGCCTTGTACTTCACATTAAAGACCTATTTGCACCCTATATTTCTCTTTCCTTTCGGTAGGTTTACCACTTTTTAAGTTTCATTTTGCTTTAAGGCTTTCATTTCCTCCATTACTACCTCTTTCTATTTAGGTGATTCCAAGGCTTCTTGAATATTTCGTGGGATTTATGTTTTATTAAGTTAGCCGTAAAAGCATGAAATTCTGTAGATAGAGCATTATAAGATATGAATTTTGAAATAGAATGTAAAGTACATGACCGAGTTTATTTTCTGAGAGCAATAGGTAGATCATGATTTGGAGAACCATCGAAGGGGTTCTCATCGAGTCCTATCACCGGTTCTAATTTTCTTGGTACCTTAGGTGAGAGTGTTTCCTTATATTTTGATTTAAGCTTTTTTTAAGTAAACCAATATCACATTGTCACTTGTTTTCCACCCGCTCTGCCTGAATTCAAGTTACCTTATGTATATGGCACATTAAAAGATAGCGTGACAAGCTCTATATATGTCTATGCAAGCTCGATATTCA